ATAAAAAAATAAATATGAAATAATATTAAAACTTAAGTATGATTGCTGCACCGAAATGAAAATTTCCGAATGTTCTTGAATGCCTCTTCCTTTTCCCTTTCCTGTCCGACCTGGAGGAGAACCAGTGTTGCCAACTCAGCGACTTTGTCGCTATATTTAGCGACTTTTCAGACCTCTCCAGCGACTCTTTTTCAAAAAAGCGACTAGCGACAAATCTAGCAACTTTTTTGGTGTCTGCCGTGGGGCGCCTGCCCCCGTCCAGTCCCGTTTTCCCGCTTCCGCAGGAGTCCCTCTCAGCACTACAGTCAGAGACACAGCATGTTTAGCCTCAGCGTCCAGACTGCAAATGAACCGCGCACATGCGCTGGGATTGACGGCACAGGTTGATCACTCTGGAGTCAGCTCCCTCAGTTGCTGAACCTGCCATAGAGAGCCTTCACCAACATGACCATGATCCACTCTTTCTGTGAGCAAGCAGGCACAGCCTGTGTGTGTGCAGGGAAATCTTATTAGTTAAAAAAAAAAAAAAAACAATCATTACCATTACCATTTGCTCACATTGTCATTGATTCTTTGTAGTCTTTTTTTCCATTTAGATTGTTAATGTTAATGTAAAAAAAATGTTATGGTTCAAAATGTTCATGTTTTAGCATGATTTTTAAGGTCCTTAGTGGACCACAATGGAAAAAAGAAAAAGTAAAAAAAAAAAAATAAAGTTGAAAAAAAAAAAAAATATATATATATATATATATATATAGCCTATATATATATATATATATATATATATATATATAAATATATATATATATATATATTTATTATGCAAATTAGACAATAGCTACGTTTACATGGACACAAATAATCAGATTGAAGGCCTGATCAGATCAAAAATCCGATTCGGTCCGATCGGAAATACATTTTATTCCGAAAGAGAGAGGTGGTTTTTGCCGATCGCCATTCTGATTGGCGTCCATGTAAACACCCATTCGGATCTTAAGAGTAAAATAATCTTCACTGCGCATGTGTGCGACGTCAGCGTGACGTTTTTCCGCCTTGTCAACAACAGGAAACCACCGGTCGCTCTCGCTCTTGTTGTGAACAACATGGCGGGAGGAAAGTCGAAGTGGTCTGTCACCGACACCTGTTTCTTGCTTGAAACCTTAAGGGAGCTCAACATAATTGAACGCCTTGATGGCAGAAAGTCTAGGAACGCCGACTTATACAGTCAAGTTCGTTTAAAGCTGCAGGAAGCAGGAATTGACAGAAGTATCGACCAGATAAAAAATCGATGGAAGAGTTTGAAAGCGGCCTATTACAAAGCTAAAACTCAAAACTGCAAAAGTGGGTCTGACCCAGCCTGCTTTGAGTTCTATGATCAAATGGATGAAACGATGGGAAATAGGCCGTTGTCAAATTTGTCCTCCAACGGCGTGGATGTTGGCTTGGAGAATGAAGAGGACTACAACTCGGACATTCCTCAAGAAGGTGGCAGCATCACGGGTAAGCAAGCACAGGTTCATCACATTAATTACAGTTAACTGACGTTGTCTAAAGGCGGGAACATACAACAGGGAAATTGGGCCGATTTTTGTCCCGATCTCCCCCAGCTAAAGCCAGCAGAGGTCTGACACGTTTAATGTTTAAAGCTAACAGCCGACTAACAGCTGATTGACGAAGAGAAAGTAAAAACAAACGAGCACAGCCATAGCTCACAACCCTGCTCTCCAAGCGATCAAAAATGCTTGTGGCATATATATATATATATATATATATATATATATATATATATATATATATATATATATATATATATATATAAAGATAGATAGATAGATAGATAGATAGATAGATAGATATAATGCGTGTTTTCCCCCAGAAAGTCAGAAGAATTAGTTTGTGTGGGTTGTGCTCTGTAGTGCGCACCCCACACTGTATGATCTTGTGCTATATGTCTTTTGTATTTAAGTGTGTGGTCTCTACATCTGTGAAGGTTTGAGGAATTATGTAGTGTGTACCTGGCTTAACCCATTTAGGCCTAAAACGCCTGGAAAAAACACCTTAAAAACCTATGGCCGATTTTAAAAAATACCCCTAAAACCTGAAGTTTTTCTGTAAATTCAGCAACTGTGTCAACGCCTAGTAAATTATTGATATCTCAGCTTCTGTAGCAGATAGAACTCAAAATATATTTTATCTTTGAAATTCTTCCAAAAAAAAAGTGAAAAGCAGTAATCAAAAAAAAAAAAATTCAACCTTTTATTTTTTCCATATGTGATCATGTCTTCATTGAGAATGTGCAATATAAAACGTTTTTAAAATAAAGAACAAACATTACATAAATAACTATCTGATGATTACTTATTAACAGTATTATTATGCATAATAATCTATATGTCTGTGTTATAAATTGCATACAACTTACCTCCAGATGGTCACAAATCTGTCCCGGTGTCGTGCCAAGGTAGTTATCCCTGCCAAAATTTGTATCCCCTCGTCGGGAGCGCGCACGGAGTAGAAAGAACAACCCGAGTTAACTCCGCGTCAATTCCAACGTGCAGAACTTCAAATTTTAAAGGTTTTATGTGTATGAAAGTTGAGCTTTACTGTTTTATTCTTTACTTCACATGTTATAGCAGAATATCGCCAGTGATATTGATTTAAAACTAATAATAAAACACAAACGTTTGCTTGAAAGCTGGTCGCTGACAGCAGTGTCTACTCCTCCCTCTGAAAGCAAACAGATCCTTGTTCTTTTCCTCACGTTCATTAAAAAATATCTCTCATTGTTTCACAGTGTCCAAATGTTCTCATCCCATTGAAAACTGTTGTAAACCATATACTTGTAATAAAAATGAAATAGAAAATGGAGTGCTCGTGTAATCATTAAAGACTATATGCAGAAGGAAAATATTTTTTTCCTGGTTAAAATTTAGTACTTAAATCTATATTTGTGTTTATAGTAACGTACAATTTATCTATGTTGTACTATCCTTAATAAACAGTTTGTCTTCTAACATCAGCCATTTTATTTCATCCCATATTGCCAGAACCAGCAATATGGGATGAAATAAAACCTGCCGTAATCTGTTCCCCCTGTCTAAATCAGGCAAAAAAGGTCCCAGTTTTTCCATTTTTGGCTTATAAGCATCTTTTATGATGACAACTAATCCCTGAAACTTTGGGGGTGATTGACCTTTATTTCTCAAAGTTACAAGGGGGGAACAAAACCTGCCGTAATCTGTTCCCCCTGTCTAAATCAGGCAAAAAAGGTCCCAGTTTTTCCATTTTTGGTTTATAAGCATCTTTTATGATGACAACTAATCCCTGAAACTTTGGAGTTGATTGACCTTTATTTCTCAAAGTTACAAGGGGGGAACAAATTACGGCAGGCCACCTGCCGTAATCTGTTCCCCCTGTCTAAATCAGGCAAAAAAAGGTCCCAGTTTTTCCATTTTTGGCTTATAAGCATCTTTTATGATGACAACTAACCCCTGAAACTTTGGGGGTGATTGACCTTTATTTCATCCCATATTGCAAGAACCAGCAATATGGGATGAAATAAAACCTGCCGTAATCTGTTCCCCCTGTCTAAATCAGGCAAAAAAGGTCCCAGTTTTTCCATTTTTGGTTTATAAGCATCTTTTATGATGACAACTAATCCCTGAAACTTTGGAGTTGATTGACCTTTATTTCTCAAAGTTACAAGGGGGGAACAAATTATGGCAGGCTACCTGCCGTAATTTGTTCCCCCTGTCTAAATCAGGCAAAAAAGGTCCCAGTTTTTTCATTTTTGGCTTATAAGCATCTTTTATGATGACAACTAATCCCTGAAACTTTGGGGGTGATTGACCTTTATTTCTCAAATTACAAGGGGGGAACAAATTATGGCATGAAATAAAACCTGCCGTAATTTGTTCCCCCTGTCTAAATCAGGCAAAAAAGGCCCCAGCTTTTTCATTTTTGGCTTATAAGCATATTTTATGATGACAACTAATCCCTGAAACTTTGGGGGTGATTGACCTTTATTTCTCAAAGTTACAAGGGGGGAACAAATTATGGCAGGCTACCTGCCGTAATTTGTTCCCCCTGTCTAAATCAGGCAAAAAAGGCCCCAGCTTTTTCATTTTTGGCTTATAAGCATCTTTTATGATGACAACTAACCCCTGAAACTTTGGAGTTGATTGACCTGTTTCTTAATTTACAAGGGGGGACAGGCTTTACCAGCTGAGATTTTTAGATGTAAAAGTGTCTTTATGGTAGTTACTGAAGTAAAATTAAGCTGACAGCACCTACTCACTGCACGCTTAAGTAATTGTAAAGTGTGGAGCCTGTAACGTAACCCTTTAGGGTAATAACTGTCACGAGGACATCTAGTAGTCTAACCCAAATGCAGAAATCACTCAGGAGGAAGGGAAAAAGTTCAAAGGTTTATTTACAATAAAGTACTATAATCACAGGTTCTGGGTTCTGGCAGACAGTAGCAAGTGGGTTCGCCACTCAGGAGGACAGAGAGGTCTGAGTGATCCGGATTACTTGCAGGTTCAGGAGGACAGAGATATATTCCTGTCCAGGGGGGTAACGGTTCTGCTGAGGGGGTGTAGAGATGATCCAGGAATATTGCTGGTGGTTTGATGTTCAGGTGAATTTCTGTTCTGGAGTGGAGCAGAGCTGCAAAGAGGGAAACCTTGAGGGTCCAGAGGCGAGTAGGCAGACAGAGGGCTGAGGGTTTGCAGAGATTGAGCTGAGTGCAGGCAGGAGGAGAACTGAGAGCTTGGCAGAGGCAGTCTGAGTGCAGGCAGAATCCCGGTTGAGCTCTCTCTCTCTCTCTTGAGGACTTGGCTGAGGCGGAGGCAGAGCTTACTGAGAGCTTGCAGGCAGATCACAGACTGAGTCTCTCTCCAAGTAATCTTCTGAGGGCGGGCAGGCAGATACTCACAGAGGAAGCTCCCCAGAGTTCGACAGAGAGCAGGCAGGCAGATAACCAGCAGAGATAACTCTCCAGAGTTACTGGTAGTCAGGCAGGATCTATCTGTGAGACAGAAAGGGGAAACTGGTTCAGGCTTGGTTCATAAAAAGTCAGAAGACTCAGACAGGCAGGTTGGCTCAGGTTTTGCTAACCGTTACTGGCAAACACTTTGGCGCTGGAGTGGTCTGATGAGGAGATGAAAGACAGGTGAGGCAGGTGAGCACAAGCCCTCAGGAAGGAATCCTTGGCGCCCTCTGGTGGGCAAGCCTCCGGATCCCAACAGGCAGCACAAGCCCTCAGGAAGGGATCCTCGATGCCATCTGGTGGGCAAGCCTCCGGATCCCAACAATAACAAATAGTAGCAAAAAATTGTAATTCAAAGTTTTGCTTATAACTTCTCAATAAAAAAAAAAAAAAATTATTACAAGATAGAAACATCATAATAGAAACAACTTAACAAAACTATTGACATGCAAAGCACACGTAATCCTCTTGGGGATCTGGGTTTCCAACACATTGAAGGTGGTACCATCTGAAGCAGTCGTCACACTGAATCTGTTAAAAATAGAGAAAGAAATCAGCATAGAAAGAAGGGAATTCTTACAAGCACCTGGCAATATTGTCAAATACCCAGATGTCTTCAGTGTCCGTGTTTTTCTCGCCACAAAAGTGACAGAGGTTGCTCAGGTCATCTGTAAGACATACCAAAATATGCAATGAGCCTCAATTTTTTTTGACAATATCACATCAAATAATACAATGTTAATGTTTCCAATAGTTAAAAGCAAGATACTAATCATGTAAGACAATCCAAAGGTAATTGAATACATACCTGTGCTGAGAAGGAGAGTGGTTGCAATTTTCATCCTGTGCTTGTTTATTTCTTTTTTAGTTGTCGGAAAAGAAATCTTTTCTTTTCTCAGGATTTTCTCAGCAAACTGTAAAAAGACATTAGATTTTTTTTTTTAGAAAAAGACATTTTAAATGTCTTTACAGACATTATATTGTACATTGCTAATAGGCGAAGCAGCTTGAAACTAATCTAGATATTATAAGTTACATATATGAATCTTTTCAATTACACAGATATGTCTTTTTGTACATAACTATGTATTTTGCATATTTGGATGCCTGCCTTCAAGGTGAAGAGTCCACATGATGTGCCATCTGTCTGTTTGGGATGCATAACTGTGTCACAAGTCCACCTGGAGATGTTACATCCCATTTTTCGCATAAATGCCCTGTAAACACATTTAAAATTTTAATAATGCATGACTTTGCGTTTGTGTTATGCAAATTTGAAAAAGAATTATTTCAATATCCATCCTTTCAGTGGTCCAGGTTTTATTTGTTTGTGTTTTCATGATACATTTCAGTTTGAAATAAACATTACAAATTTTTTTTAATGGGGTCGTAATTGTGCTATTGTTCTGGACTTTTGGATCAACCTTGTACAAGAACATAAAGCTTAAATTTTTAATGTACCTTACTGCGTTTAGAGAAAGGTTCATACTGTACATAAGTGTAAGAAACACATTGAAAAAATAAGCCTGCATTACTATTTAATCTCTGTAATGTAAATTGTGACATCCACAAAATTGGACATTATTCACAATAACATTTTTCAAATCAGGCTTTGTAAGGAAAGATATTTTGACATTTCTTGATTTTTCCTTGCCTTGTAGTAGCCCGACATGTCTGTATGTCCTGTTTACTCTCTCCTAGAGGATCCAGAAACACCGACCGCTTGTCTTGTGGGTAGATTACCTATGATTAATTTGATTTAATAACAAAAATTCCTGGAATCACTCACTTTTGATCAGTGTCCTCTTCACATTAACAAAATTACACTTATTGACATTTTCGTAAAGGAATAATGAACACGGAAGGGTTAATTACCACTAAAATCCAGTGATGATGCTTGTTCACAATTCCCAGAATTACACCATATTCCATTGGTTTTATCTAAAATGAATGATGTAACATGTTAGTAACTTCATTATAACAGCGATGAAACATATACCCAACACATGAATAGAAAAACAAACCAAAACAAAGATAAAAAAAAATATATATTTTTACTAATCCAAATGATAAGTGCTAAATCCTGTTTAGTATTTATTTGAAAGATTTCGGAAGCTCTGGGTCAAGGCAGCAGTTATCTAAAAAACGTGTGTTTGGATAAACAGATTGAGTCGTTTCTACTTGATTATTCAAATGATAAAGTTTTCCCATGTGATGTCAGCCTATGATCAATAATAATACAGGTCTTTTGAACAAAGCTTCTGTAACTTGTTTAAGGTTTCATTTCTCAGTTGTTGTTTTTTTTTCTTTTGCTCTGTGTTGTGGTGAAAATGTATATTATTTCTTAAAACATTCGTTTTTATCTTCCGTCTAATCTATTTTTTTGCATTATTGGTATTATGTACTCATTGCTATAGTTTGTTAGTTATTTATTCTGTTATGATTAGGTTTTATTTTCCATGGCTTCAGTTATCTAGAGTTCCTTTTTTATCCTCTAGTTTTTCACTTGGTCATTCCTTACTTTGTAGTCATTATTTTAATTCACATTTATCCTTATGTTACTTTCTAGCTTTAGTTGAACCCTGTTTTCCCTGTTTGCGGTTTGTTGTTGCTCCTATTGCCAGTTATTTCCTCTTATATCCTTCTTAGCTTTTTCTAAACACACTGGCTCATAATTACCTGATAACACCTGTTATTGTTCTGTCTCCCATATACTCTCCGCCTTTGCGGTTCCTCTGTGCTTTATACTCTTCTCACCTACAAGACACCATCTCTACCCTGTGTCTCTGCTCTTGAGTCCTCCACAGAACCAGATAGCTTCTAACCAAATATTTTTGACATTATATAATGTGTTCAACACATTCAAGTAATTCACTGTCACCATTGAAGCATTTACATGATTCTCTGAGGACAAGGTTCCAGCTTTAGCAATAACAGTTTTTCTTCACATCATTTACATGTTGTGAAAAGTTGATTATGAGATTTTACATAATTTTCTCTATTACTACACAAACCTTGTGTCGCGGAATCTTCCCATTCCATATGGATGTCATTGCAAACGTGTCAATGAAAGTTGATTTTGTAGTTTCTGCACAATTGTAGTCATTTATAAGGAGGTGAAGATAAGCGTTGATTGACTGTTCATAAATAAAAAAGCACATTAGTCAGCCATTCACAGACTAAAAAAAACATATGTTTTTTAAGTTTGAAATTAAACTTTCCATTTTGCAATACCTCGCTTTCCAACTCCATGTCTGGACCAAGTTGCTTTATGTCCCAGTAAAAGAGCTTATAGGCACTGATCTTTGAGAGTAACACATTGCATGTTTTTCCACCCCATGCCTCAAGTACATCTGGATAAAAGAGAAATGGTGACACATTAAGATCGTTATACATGAACAGTTATACATTTATAACTAATCTGTTACACTTCCCATTGTGACTTCAATAGATCTAATCAGTTAAGGTGCAAAGGATTTAGTTCCCCTGATATATGTCAGTAACGCTTTGTTTTACAGTACAACTACCATTCTGTCTAACCATTTATAACATGGTAATAGCATAGCAAATTACACTATAAACTTTATGCATAATTTTGTGCTGTGCTTTAAGTTCTAGGCAGACAAGAAAAAGTCAGACTTCTTAAATGTCAATCCGTTATTACCAGCTAACGCATTCATTTCCCTAACAAAAATAAATGAATGTGTTTTTATCCAGTTATATGCAGTTTATTACTTGAAATATAACAGAAAATGATACCTAGAATACGGCATGCCAATTTTCTTACCTATCTTATTTATATGTAACTTCAGTTGAGTTATATAATGCTTTATTTACCTGATCATAGGTTAAAACTTAATTTGCAAGCCATTGGTAGGTGGTGGGCAATAATAGAAACATTATGTTAACTACAACCTTATGGTAATTACCCAGCAAAAGTCTTCATTGTTACATAGCAATGAAACATGCAGGCAATTACTTTATTATATACATTAATTTGGGGTAATTACCAGATAAAGTTTTTATTGTTACCTAGTAATATAGTGTGACTAACCTGTTATTACATGCTTTTTGATGTACTGTAAAACAAAGTTTTACCTATGCATCTACATAGAAAACTAAAATTTAAACATTAGCTGTAAATTTTCATTTACATTTGTTCAAAAATATAACTATTATTATTTAAATTACACCAAAAAGTTAAAGACAAACTACAAAGAATATATTCTTAGAATGACAGAAGTTTTTCTTCATACATTTTTCTGCATCTGCTTTGCTGTACTTTGGAAAAGACTCAGATTTTGAAGGAGAATCGTTGGCAGCAGCTGAGCATGGTAGAGGAGATGCACAGGGTGGAGGAGAAGGGGATGGTGGAGGAGCAGCGGTGGCAGCAGCTGAGGGTAGTGGAGGAGATGCAGGGGGTGAAGGAGATGAGGATGGTGGAGGAGATGGCGATAGTTGAAGAGATGGAGATGGCGGAGGAGATGGGGATGGTGCAGGTGCAGCAGTGGCAGCAAATGGGGATGGTGGAGGAGATGGGGATGGTGCAGCAGTGGCAGCAAATGGGGATGGTGCAGCTGTTGTGCAAAAATAATGTCCTGCAGATAATGAATAGATGGTTAACTAGAACTGGAGTTATAGTTAATTATTATCCTATTCAACATCGAAGGCCAAAATCAATTTAGTGTTCTTAGGTGGATAATTATAGCCCTGAGTTATCTACTTACCGGTTGTTGATCCACAACTGGAGGGTTCCGGGACCGGCTGTTAAAATCCAGGTATCCACCAGTCTAGTGGCCCCGGTTAAGTTATCAGCAAAGCTATAAAATTATCAATAAAGAACCTTCTATCTCTGTTTATTCGCACTATTACCAAAAGGAATCGAGTTTACTCTGAGTGATTAACCCTCCGTTATATGAACGACCAAAACCACTACAGATTAACCAATGATGTCTTTATTCTAATAATTCAGGATTACAGAAATCTAACATCTATGCAAACACTACACACTACTAGAAAAATAAACACGAGGTAGATTAAATGACTAGTTCAAAAGAAAAATAAAAGAAAAATCGAAGATAAGGAATTAAACGAGATAGAAACAACAAAATAACTATTACTGGCGTCTGAAATTGTCCAAAATATGCCAGATATTAATACATTCATTAATGTCCGCTAGCAGCAGGTATCGTGCAATTGATCAGTGTAAACTAATACATCCAACTTAAAATCAGCAAATGATTAAATGCATTAACAAGCAGCAGGTGTAATGATAACAGTGCAATCGATCATGAACATTAATACATCCAGCTTAGTATTGGTAAATCATTGAACATGTATTAACAATAGCAGCGTTCAGCAAAAACCCCTTTTTGCCTGGCAATGTAGTGATGTGTGTGAATGGTTGTGGCTAAATGGGGACCACCCCCCTTTGTTCTCCACGCGGTGAGGGGAACAAAGAGAAATGGGGGGGGGGGCGACCTGTGATCAAGATGGCGGCGACCACGGGACCCCACGTGGCTGAATGTGATAACTTTATCTCTATCTCAAAGCAGAAACAACGGAGAGGACAGGAAAGCTAAGAAAGAAAGAACAAGCACACACTTATTTTAACCAAATAAACAAACCCTTAATCAGCACAGATTAAAAAAAAAAGGAACACCAGCATTAATTAAAAACCCTAAACTGCCTTTCTCTCGCCTGAGCACAGCAATTCTGATGCATCAAAAGAAACGTAAATTGATTTTACTGCGAGATGCGTCGTCCGAGGGAGGTTGGCATTTCCACGGCAACCGCAGCTTGGTTTCTGTCGGGCAGAGGTTCTCGGCCACCGGTCCGCCCCTCGGGAAAGTTCAGTCAGCTCGGGCCGCGGCAGAGGGGTTGATCTGCTCACGAGTTGGAAGGGAGGG